GTGTGTGTGTGTGTGTGTGTGTGTGTGTGTGTGAGCGTGTGTGTGTGTGTGTGTGTGTGTGTGTTTACCTGGTAGACCAGGAGGTCCTCGTGGTCCAGAGCTGGTGTGACTCTCAGGATTTATCCCGTGAGCCGGTTTGTGGCTGTTATTATCCAGACTGGGAGACGAACCCTAAACACACACATACAGATCACACAGATGAGATGTGTTTGAGCTCATCAGCAGAGTGTGCCTCAGAGTGTTTGTTTGTGTGTGTGAGTGTGTGTTACCTGTGTGTATACTGTGTGTGTGTGTGTGTGTTAGTTACATGTGTGTGTTACTTGTGTGTGTGTGCGTGAGTTACCTGTGTGTGTTACTTGTGTGTGTGTGTGTGTGTGTGTGTGTGCTACCTGTGTGTGTTCCAGCAGGTGTCTAATCTGCAGTAAGCTGCTCCTCATGTTGATGAAGTCCTGACAGCTGAGAGAACACCATCCAGAGCTCATCTGAGTCTCAGACTTACTGGAGGAGCTCACTGACACACACACACAGCTCATTATCACACAGTACACATGCTGAACACACAGATTTAACATGGGCTGAAGTATAAGAATTGGCTATTGAAAAACCCACATTTGCTGACCATCAGTCTCTAACCACTAATACAGTATTCTCACAGTGTCTATGATGTTTACGGTCCAGGGCTTCATTTATACAGACGTCTACATGTTCCTAAATCACTGTACACCTGTTTCCAAAATATTCCTATGAACAATTTATTAAATGCCTGTATGCATAAATATGTTCCTAAATGCATTCCTCACTATTAATTGCAATTCCTCTTCTTTAATCATTATTATTCTTTAAAAGTGGTAAAAAATTTGGGACTGTTAGGATTTTTTAAATTTAATATTTCTCTCATGTTCAAATCTTTGATCAAAATTATTTGATCAAAAATACATTAATAAAACATTAATATTGGGAAATAGTATTTTTAATTTAAAATAGTTTTCTATTTTAATCTTGAATGAATGAAAGATGTAAATATAAAAGTTAAAATGGTGCTAATTTGTGCATTTAATAATATTTAAGCATCTTGTGAATTGTAGTTTTTCTTTACATTTTGTAATCAATGCAGGATTATTTGAATTACTGCTGTATGATTGCAAATAGTCTGTATGCATACATTCAGTTTCTGTACACATAAAAAAATTCTGATCCCACTTTTGATGTAGAATACAATCTATGGAATTCAGGATGAAGTCTGGTTATATGCATGTGTTATAATGGAGGCCTTTAAGCTGTAATTTCAATGAAATCTAAATTATTATAATTTTTTTAATTACTGAAATGTTCAGCTACACTGAAATAGCACTGGGCCTGTATTCACAAAACATCTTAAGGCTACAAGTAGCTCATAACTTGCTGATTTAGGAGAAAATCTTAAAAATAATGGGCGTGTCAGTCCTAAATGATCGCTCTAAGAGTATTTCACAAAGCGTTTTAGCTCTAAAACTAGCTCCTAAATCTGTGAAAGGTTAGCAGTAGTGAAGAGGAGTCCTAAATCACTAACTATCCTAAACTCTGTCTCGGAACGTAAACATTTTAGAAAGATTTGATGATAATGAGTTTTTAAAAAGGTATCGGCTTTGGTTTTGGAGGTTATCCCAAATCCAGATTTTCCTTTGATTATATCCTTGTTCTCATTAAGCAGCTGGACAAGAAGTAACAGCTGTGCTTGAGTCCAGTTTGGTTTTCTTTTACGTTTGCATGTTTTACTATCAGCCAGGATTATTCTACTCTGTTAATTAAAAGGCTGTTTATATGCACAGACTATCAGCCAATCACTGTGTGCATAGTTAATGAGCACGCTGACATCATCCATAGCAACTAGGTAAGCCCCGCCCCCTTACTCTGAGCTCAACACTTCTCTCTATTCTTCAGTACAAGTTTATCTCAGCAGCTTTGTGAATAGGTTTTAAGAGAAAACTCTTAGCTAAAAACTTTTACTGCTATTTAGGAGAACTCTTAGCAGTAAGAATGATTTCTGAGAGTGAGTCTCACACACACAGACTCACGGTTGTGTTCAGGAGCGCAGGAGCGCTGATCTGGAGTCAGTGTGAACCCAGCGTTACAGCGGCAGCGGAAACTTCCCGGAGTGTTTTCACACACGTGTTCACAAGCGCTGCTGTTCGATTCCTCACACTCGTCCACATCTGCACCACAGACAGACAGAGGTTATGACTGTGTGTTTGAGAGCAGCACATGACAAGCGTTTGAGCCACTGACCGATGCAGTACGGCTGCAGGTGCTGCCGGTGTCGCTCTCGGTCGAAGCGATAACCCTCGAAACACGTGCACAACACACGACCGAAGTTATCAGTGCACTGCTGCTCACAGAGAGACCCGCCGCACACGTCCAGACCTGAACACACACCGCCAGCTTTCAGTTCATATATGTGACCCCGGAGCACAAAACCAGTCTTAAGGGTCAATTTTACTAAATTTAGATTTCTACATCATCTGAAAGCTGAATAAATAAGCTCTCCATTGATGTATGG